CCAACGGAACGAGTAAGTCTGATACAGCCATATTGACAATCAAGTAGTTTATATTTGTCCTTAAGTTTTGATTGCAATACACGACAGCGATAACGAGTACGTTACCAAGAAGAGACCAGACAAATAGAATAGAATACAAGGCTATTTTAATATGAGGAGGAATTGGATGTGTCCAATGAGAAGTTATATTTCCTTGTGTTGAGTTGTTCATGTTCGTTGTAAAAACTTATTATCTTGATGATGTCTGTTAAAATACAATAAAATATTTGAAGAAGTTTAGAATACTTACAACTAGTTTGTGCTGGTACACAACTTGTACAATCATCAACGTCAAGGTTTCAGAAGGTAATTTATAGCTGCTCTTCCACACCTGATGATCTTGATGACCAATAGTACTATGATATTATCAGTGCAGTAGGTTTGTGCTCGTACACAACTTGTAAAATCATCAACGTCAAGGTTTCAGAAGGTAATTTATAGCTGCTCTACAACACCTGATCATATTAATAACCAATTAATATTCATAGATAATCTTTGGACTTCCTGATTAAATTATYGAATTCTTATTATTCATTTTACAGAAGATTTTATTTTTTTTAATGTTCAGTCGTGTTTATTATTAGTTTTAAATGACTTTGAGATCATGCACATCTAACATGACAAAGTTTTTAAGAAACTTCATACTGTCAGCACAGTTCGCTAACTTTTAAGGCCACAGCTACCTCACTCGATAATCTTATTGTCTTGACACCCTTAGAGGTATCCACACAACTAAACTAGAAGGGCCTCAAAATGCATTAAAAGGTTGAAAGTGAAAATTTCCCCTCATCAGAAACGCTTGCAATAAAAATCAATGTGGTCAGCCATTAAACCAATGGAAGAACTCAAAACTCCTTCAATAAACGATTTTATGCATTTTAGGAATTGTTTTTTCATGTCTCCTTAGAAATTATCACCAAATCATGATAAAAATCATCGTGTAAGTGCTATCCTTGCAGCTCGTAATTGACTAGTCCTTGGAAACACGTTTTGTTTAGTTTCTAACCTTTGTCACATACCACAGCTAGCCCAATCAAGACTAYTAAATTTCACGATCTTTTTTTTCGTATCAGTTATTTTACTTGCTTAAAAGTTTGACAATAGACTTCTTAACCGCCTCATACAAAACGAGGAGAGAAATTTGAAACAGTTATTAACACGAAAAATATWTATTTATTTGTAGCACATTTTTCAGTAGCTCCAGAAAATTACAAAATGAAGACGATTTGTCTGCTTTTTATTATTGAATCTTTATTTATTTAATGTTAGTCCAATGATCTAACTGTTGGTAATTAGTCTTTATTAATTGGTCAAGTATTAGTCAAAACTTATTACTACTTAGTCACAGGAGACTGAAGTTGAAAGGGTTTTTCTTCTTGTTGTTCACGGCTTTCGTAGCCATCATTGGTTTATTAAACAGTACAAAAAACATGGCATGTCTTTTTTTTATTTCGTTCTGGCCAGCCAGTCATTAGCGTTACTACTATACCGTGTAAGAAAACTGCATACTCTATTTTCATTCCCCTCTCACCGTACAGCTGAGCGGTGGGCAGACAAAATGAGTTCAATTTCCATTTTGATCTGACAGTACATTCAGTATCAAACAGCGTGAGCAGCATTCTACTTGATTAGAAGTGCGAAGTCCCTTTTAATTATCTGTAGAAATTGTCTACAATGCAAGAGACTTAATATCCGAGCAGATGCAGGATCAAAACTAGAAGAGATAAGATATGACATGAAAACCTAATTATAAGAATAATAATCAGAGKAGAATTAAAAAGAAGCATTAACTCCAAAAGGAGTGACACCATGCCTAATGTCATAAAACTAAAGAAAATAGGCGATATATTCTCACATAATTCTCGTAACCAGATCCTTCTCGCCCAAAAAATCGAAGTCTCTGGTAATCATATATACAAAGCTTTTTTAATACAAACTGCAGCTCGATGATGCTCAGAAGAGGTGAGACTGTAACCGGTAAAARATTCGCAAGTCCATGAACAGTTATCAAGCGGTTGAACGTGATAAATGAATCTACYCATAATCCTTGTCGGCCTCAGCTTTATAGCTTTTCAGGTGACTAACTTTATTGAAATAAGTGTATTCATAATGAACAAATGCTGAGTCACGCACAACATGGGTGACAAACCGTGCGTGACAAAAATATCCACAACATGGCGGACATCAGGTTCTTTCTCATCTCGTGTCTTAACTTTCTCCTTCTTGGTATCCAACCTKCACATACAGCTAAGATAGTTGGGTACCCAATGTTTGGAGGAAGCCAGTACATCGGAATGAAGAGAATAGCTGAAGAGTTAGTCAGCAGGGGACATGAAGTAAGTACCGTTATTAGCTTCATTTAACTTCATCAGCTACGTACTTTGCCCCTCGGTTTGGCAAAAATATTTTCCAAATTTGCTCCATTAAATAAAAAAAATTAGAGTGGCAATAAGAAAAAGACGTAAAGAGGGTATGACATTAGCCAGTGGGCACGTCTAAGGGCCTTGACTTTCATTATATACTTATATAAGTCTTCTTWGTAGAGTGGAAACAATATAACCGTGAAACTTTAGTAATACTAAATAGCACAATTTCTTCATGCAAGTTCCATTGTTTTCAATTGTTTAATTAGCACTATTTTGTACTATTTAGTACTTTGTGTTTCACGGATTAATTGTTTGCACTCTAAGTATGTTTCTTTTAATGATGACAAGTTTAGTCTAGTTTAGTCTCAGTGAGACCA